TACTCTTGTTTTCTTTAAAAGAAAGAGACTCCATACTATAAACATAAAGTTATGAGGCAAATATGAGATTTAACAGCTAAAACAAGAAAAAAAATTGGAAGAATGGGGACTTGAATATGATTTCAGGGGTGGCTGCAACTGTTTATACTCTAGACGAAATATAAAGCAGTACACAATGATGATCAATGTACTTGGAGTAGATAATACAATAATTCCGAAAAGAACTTATTTTTATAGTGCACTAGACATGATTGATGTTATATTTTAAGGTAAGAATGTTCCATTACAAATATTCACTGATCCTTGGAGAAATGGAGCTGATCTTGGTAAATAAGGGAATTAAATGACAAGTTAGTACAAAGAAAACACCACACACCCACAAAATATATAACACTTTTCAAGGAGCTCAGAGTGAAGTCTTTGGTTAGGGGGAATGCAACAAGGACAATTTCTGTAGTATTTTTAACAGAAAAACTGTGAACTTACTATCCTGAGAAGTGCATGAGCTTTAGCATGAAACTAACTTCGAATTACATTCTTTCTAGTAAGCCGCATGACCCTAGGCAAGATGCTGAAGGAAGCCTGTCTGTAAATGGCTCAGCTGGGAAAATTAGGTGGCAGGTATGACAGTTGGTTGGGGACTATAAAGCCAGGATGGCAACACCAGACTGAATCACCAGGTCTGGGCCCGAAGCTAACGAAGGAAGTATCTATGTTTGTAAAAAGCACTGTGGCTGATTCTACTGCATACATAGGCAAGATAAGGGAACACATGTACAACACAATGCCTGGAACACAATGAACATTTGCTAAATGTTAGATGGCCATTTCGTATAAAAATATATGTTTTCCATCATTTTTTCACTACGGTTGTAAGTTTTTTTCATTACAAAGATAAAGACGGGCTCTGTCTACAATGAAAGGCTTGGAGTTTTTTCTTTGTCTTTGCTATGGATGGGAATTAAAATGAACAAAGAAAACAAAATGCCATTTATTTCACCATGTCAAATCACCAAGTCACTTAGGTGACCTGGGTGCTCACCCCACTGATCAGTACTTAAATCTCCGATTAGGTGTTGTTGCACTTATGTATCACAAGCCACAGACAGGATTTGCTCCTTATGACATGACCTCAAAAGAAAGCCAACTGCTAATCTACAAAGATATGTGCAAATATGGGGAAGCGGAACAGGTCTCAGAAAATATTCTTGCAAATGTCAAAGGTCTACTGCACAATCACATTTTCTAACATAAGGGAAAGGTCTTGGCATAGTTATAAATGGCTCCCAGCAATTAAGAAAACTGCCATGAAAGGTCAGGGTGCATGGTATTTAGTGCCCCCAATACTTCAATTGTTTGTATGATGCTTGCCTGTCTTCCTTGCCCTCTTTCACATGCTGCTGGAAAGGGTGGCTAAAATTCCCTCCTGACTCACTGACTGAAATCAATGGAGTGTGTGCGGCAGAGGGTGGTGACCTGTGCTAGCTTACTCCTTTCATACATATACATTGCCACTATAGCAACAGACTGTCGGCAGGAGGTGGTCCTGAAGCCGAGCTGCCTCTGAATGTACTGCTGTTGCTTGCAGTTTCCTCAGAGGAAAGGAGGGCTACAGTACCAACACAAAGAGCCAGACACGTCCACCAGATACCCAATATGCATGAAACGTAGACGTAAGTCCACAATTCTCTTTTCTTGAACAAACTTAAGGGCTTTGTTCAAGTGTGCTGACCCAAACTACCTAGTGGGAAATTACTCTTTCCTCAGTGGTTAACTCAGTGCCACTCAGATTCATAGGAAGGCTATATCCTCCATCTCTTCCTATGTAGAATTTATTAATATGAGCTAAGTATAAACAGAAATATGGACTTGTTTCAAATCTTAAAATTTTACTGATTTCAAATCTAAAACTACATAATAATTTGGAATCTTAATAGCTGAGCCAATTTGCTTGGTGACTCAGTCTATTAATAGACTAAAGATAGAACTATCTGAAGCAGTATATTTTTAAATAGTCATAGCTCTGAACAACATTTTAAAGTACTGACTGTTACTTCTACAAGCTGTCTTCAGCCCCCACGGGCTGATGTTTGCAAGGTGACTGCTTGGTCTACACTAGCCCTTTTCTTGTACTTCCTCTTCCTCAAATATTCAAGAGAAAATTGGCTCTTACAGGAGTCAGACATGAATATTTCAGTACCACAGAACTCCTAAATGAGCACTCTTACTACTATTTGGTATAATGTATGCATACTGTATGCCAAAAAACTTAGCACTTTACCTGTCAGTATAGACATTTTCCAATGTGTATTATTATCACTATCCATTAAGACTATAAAATTCTTGAAGATAATCATATCTCAAATTGGACCATACTCTGAAACAAATATTTTTATCTCTCTCCCTGGGTATTCTTGCCTAATTTCAAGTTGTTTCAGTAAGACTCAGTGCTTCCAAATGTGCACATCTGTGTGTCATACTGGTGAAAATAATTATTACAATAATATCATCTATAACAAAACTGTAATGATTGGACCAAATCCCCAGAGATTTTGATGAATAGAGTGTTTGGGAGCCATGGTTTCAAAGTTAAATATTACACTATACATTTTAGTATAACTGATAATGAAGAAAAAAGAAAAGCTGGTCAGTGGTGGCACACGCCTTTAATCCCCGCACTCAGGAGGCAGAGGTAGATGTATCTCTGAGTTCAAGGTTAATAATAATTTGAAAGTTTCTGTGATTAGGAGTCCATATGAATCATCCATAACAAATACCTATGAGTCAACATAATGTTTTGAAAGCACGCTAGAGCACTACTTTGTATTACTTTCTGACACTTTTAAAAAGTGCAACTAATACTGATTATTTTCATTTGCAGGGTAATTCCACACACCCAAGATAGAATCTAACAAGACTATAAAGCAAGTACACAGATGGTAAAAATTAAGGCATTCAAAGCAAACTCTGCAATTACTATTACAGAAACAACCTACTTGTAAAACATTACATAATTAGTGTTACATTTTTAGGTTGAGTTTTCCAAGTGTTCTCAGTCCTGGTAAAACAGACTTTAAAGACAGACATGGGCTTCTTTCCCTTCTTGCTCAATAATGCTTGCTCTGGCTTTATCCTTAACTCCTTATGTTCTATACTCATGTTCGCCTGCCTATGCTTCCTAAGCAACAGACAGCAGCAACCCTAGCTCAGCTGCAAGTGAGAATCAGAACTTTAATGTGTGGCCTCTGGAGGTCTACTGCAATATGAATTATAACGGTCATTTGTTATAACAACAAGCTTTCTTTACACAGTGTACTGTACGAGCAGACCTTCAAGGCCTAAAGCTCAGAAAGCTGTGCTGGTCCTCCTCTTGAGTCTTACACTGCTTTTCTATAGGAATGCTCTAGACTCAGTGACCTCCAAGATCCTCTTCACTGCTGACCCTTGGTGCAGATCTTACACTTGTCACTGGAGCCCCCTTCTCCTACCAAGAGACCAAATCTGTCTGCAAGCTGTGCCTCCTGTCATCTCCCACAGCATCTCACACCTACCTGCGACTATTATCCTTCCATTAGTTCTTTCATTTAAATCCCCTCTTAAGCCACTCAGTTCACTCTTGTTACAAAGGTGTTTTGTGGCTTAGGCCCTAGTGACAGTCACAGTGTACAGGAAGGAGCATATGCTGCTTGGTTTGACACTAATCCAGTAACTGATGACTTTCTTCACCTTGCTGTCTGCCCTTGCTTGTGATACATGAAAATATGTGAAAACTGCTCTGGAGGCTTATGAGGAGAAAGTAAACTTAAGACATTAAAAACCATTTAGCACAGTGCCCCAGAGCTATAAGTACTCAATGTTAGTGGCTTTTACTATTTGAATAATCACCAACATGTTCCTTCTTTTTCAGCATGGGTTATTCAGATTTCTAGTCCACAATTCTAACTGAAATGAACAGAATCATCACCTGGTTTCCTAACCAAGGCCAGTGAGACCATCTGAGTTTCTCTATGTAATGACATGCAGGGTACAGGGCACCAGGAAGATATTACTTGTGGTCACTGACTGGTTTGCTGAGTGACGACTAAGCACTACACTTCTTGAGTGTGCAACAAAGTTCACAATCAGGTTGCCTGTAAATACTTCCTCCATTTCAGAACAGAGATGTTACAAATACAACCTCATCAACTATAATACAATCTCTCCACTGTCTTGTCTCTATTTAGGATTAGCTTTATAAGTAAAAGATGTGTCCCAAAGTCATCCTCTCTACAACAGAAATATAGTAATGAAATATAGTGCTTCCTGATGTTACATATAACTTTCAAAAAATTACTAAATAATAATACTAAATAACAGAAACCATACTATGACTGAAGAGAGTCTAAGTTAGACTATTATATGAGAGAAAAGTTCTACATAAGAGATGAGAGAGATGAGCCAAGAACACAAGCTGCACAACCGTAATGCCTTCCTACCACTCCCCATAGACACAAAAAACTCTACCCTTCATGAGCTTTTACAGGCCAACAGGCACAGGCACTCAATTTCCATTGGCAAAGCAAAAGTCAAGCCCAAAAGTCCACATCATATTAGTTATAATCACAGAATTTAAAAAATAAGCCAAACTGACCATGGATAGTTTTGGTTTTACCATTCCAATGTGACTTTGGACTGTTACCAAACATTTCTTCAAAATCACAACACTCAGATGTAAAAAAAAACCTTCATTTTAGCAGATTATCTTAAAGCACATCAGACTCTAAAAGAACAATGGTGCCATTTAGGGAAAGATGTGGACACCTCTGACCTAAGGTTTCCAGGTCTTTCATGTCGGGCACAGGTAATTTTATGGCATGTAGCATTCAGAAGAGGAAGATGACTATTTGTCACAGGTCAGCAGTGAGTTAATACGGTTCACTAGATGTCAGAGTTCTACATATACAGCGCAGCAATCGGTGCCGCATCTATCTTAAAGCACATATCTTAAGATAAGTACTTACCTTCTCTTAGTCGATCCACCACAAAAGTAAAGCCAGTGGTTCTTGGATGTAAGACATATTCATATTTTTGAAGTCCATTCTTCTCAGCAAAATCATTACTCCGAGCCTTGTTATTTTCTAAACAAAATGACAGACTTTTAGCACCGTAAAGTAAAAGAAGATAGTGAGGTAAGGGAAAACATGAACAATTTAATTTCTTGGATAAAAATAGCACTTATGACCAGGCATGGTGGGCACACCTTCAATCCCAGGACTCGGGAGGCAAGGCAGGCAGATTTCAGGAGTTACAGACCAGCTTAGTCTACATAGTGAACTCTAGGCCAGCCAGGACCACATAGTGAGACCTTGCCTATGCCCAAAAGGCGCTTACATATTCTGTTGTTACAGATAGTAAATGAGGATGATGCAAACATCATATGTGTATGAGTGCCTCACCTACATGTATATGGGCCAGTGTATGCACTGTCCAAGGAGGCCAGAAAAGGGCATCAGATCCTCTGGAACTGGAGTTACAGATTGTTGTGAGCAGCCATGTGGGTGCTGGAACCAAACCAGGTCCTCTATAAAATTATCAAATGCTCTTAACCACTGAGCCATTTTTCCAGCCCCATAATTTATGCAAACATTTGAGGTAATCTCTTACAAAGATCTCAATCTACAGGTAGACAGACAGACAGGCAGATGTAAATATATATAATGTAATGAATAGAGCCTTAATAATAAGTTTCCTTAAATGTATATCCCAAACTTTAAAAATATTTAGAAGACTTCAAAAAAGCTGATATATAGTTAAATTTGAGTTATAAAAACAAAAAACTGATAAGCTAAAATTTTCATTAAACATCACCTTTATGTGAGGTGAGGATGTTCTGTCATAAAACACTTGTCTACTGTGCAGGACCTCAGGTTTAATTCCTAGCACCACCAATAATAATGAAACCCTGAAATAACAAAGGTTTAAATATAATATAATAATGCTAATAAAACTAAAAAGAAACAAAACATAAGGATCTAGAAATCCAGAAGAAATAACTCGCAATAAATATATCAGATCAACATTTTCTTTAACCCAATAATTTAGGCTTTCAAAGCAAAGTGAAATATCTGCCTTGCTCAAGCACAGAGTGGCTAATATTACTAACCAAAACCACTGCACAACAAAATAGGCACATGATTAGCACATCATGTACAAACATCTGAACATGGTTTGGCTGAATATAGTTACAGAGACAAGTATACGTTTCAATTGTTGGCAATAACTTCTTTTTCCATTCCGTGAGGTCACTTTACAAATTCCAAGAAGAACCAAACTCATTATTTAGCAAATACAATTGGAAAATAAAGTGTTCAAAAAATTTGGCCTTGACTAGATCATGAAATACCTTCTGATGACAGCAGATGATAGGACCTGTAATTCTCAACTCTATTTGGAAATTTACAAGCTAGTACAATAAAAATATCTATATAAACACAAGTTTTCTAGGAGTAAGTTTAAGATCAGTGAGTTCTCTAGCCCTCCAGCAACCACAAATGCATACCGCAACACAATATCCAGCAGATACCCTTAACAAAAGGCATTGTGTCTTTTCTAACAGGGCAATGAGTCAAATGCCCATAGCTGACCCAGCAATGAAAAGGAAACGCCTTGGACGTGGAACTCAGTAAGCTATTCTCCATTCGCTTGTGAATGTCCTGAGCACAGGGCTATAATAGATTAGTAACAGCACTTCTCTATCAGCCAGCTACAAACCTTAAAGGGGATTAGCAGTACCAAAGAAACAGAGATGAAGAGTAACTAACTGCTCATCAGCTTGTTTTCCCAGTTTTCAGTGACTCTGGGGAGTCTCAAGTGTAACTGAATTCTGTTGCAGATGTGGATACAAATACACACAACTCTGAAATGTAAAGTCACAATATGGGACGTTGGAAATCATCAGACAAATTAGTGTGGCAATGCTCCCTCCCCCTCCCTTGAGCCACCCACTCCCAGGCCATCATTAGTAACTGCACTAGCATCCCGTTTTCCAACCGCAGCCTCCTGTCAGCTCCCTCCCTGAAACTTTCCCACTCATTCCACCCACACCCACAGGACTGCTGGCCATTCTGATCTCGTCAAGCCAACCTCAGCCTGTGCAACTGCTGTTCAATTACCCGGAAGGCCTCTTGTCTGGTCTCTATGCAAACAGAAACTTAACAGAGAGGCTTGCCCTGACCACCTCACAGGGTAGCATCCTGTACCCTTCTTTTACTCTCTATCTTCCCATCCTGCTTTATTTTTTTACACAAGGTCTTATGACAACTGTACAGATTATTAGCTTATTATCTCTTTCTTCATATAACAAACTTCATGGAAGGGAATTAATTTTTTATATAAAGTTTCAGACACTGGGATATTTATTAAATAAAGACACTTTGTGTGCAAGGGTATGAAATTATATGTAGTATCATTGTTAAAACCTGGAAATAGCTTTCCTTTCCAAACCAGGAAAATGGAACTAAAATGAACAAGCATGATGGCTAATTTTGTGTCAACATAACAAGGCTGCACGTGCCAGACTTTAACTGTCAACTAGTCACAACCTGGAAAAGAGTCTAAATGAGGAATTTTCTGGATCATGTCTGGGAGACTGTCATCCACTTTGAGTGGCATCCATTCCTAGAGAGGGGCTATTGAACAAGGTAAGAGAGAAGCCAGCCAGCTGAGAGCAAGCAAACAGGATGCACTTGCTCTCTCCCTGCTCTGGCTGGGGATGGGACCAGCTGTCTCAGGTGCCTGCCTTGACTTCCACACAGTGTAATCATTAAAAATACTTTTAAATTAAATGATATTCTTTCTAAATTGGAGATATCTCTGTTAGTCCACTGTGTAAAGTCAAGAGGCACTCTTCCTCATTCAGCATTACAGGTCTTGGAAGACGAGTTTATATTCCCCTTTGCCACACAACTTGTGGATCTGGCTTCCATTCTACCCCCACTTAGGTCTGTGTTTCCTCATGCAGCGTACCACACCACCCTTGTCACATTCTGCAGTATCATCCTTGAAGATATGGTTTGTTATACTGTCACTTTGACCTCTTTCTACAGAGCTGCCTCTTGTCCAAGCTGTAACTCCTCTCCTGCCCTCCCAATAATCAACCAGGAAGGTTCTACATTTATCCATCTATAAAAATCAACTGTTTTAAATAAATATAAAAAACACTACTTTATTACATGAAAGACTATACAGTGTTTTAATAATCTTGTTTTAATCTGCTGAGGTAGAAAGGATCTAAATATGTTCTTCTGTGTCCCATCTCCAACTCAAGGATGGCTGATTTTTCTTCAGACAAAGCCTTTTTTGCCAGTAGTAGGGAGATGATCTGAATATCAGTGGAAAGGTCACAAGATTTAAAAGTAGTTACTTTTGGATTCTTTCCTTATATGGAAGAAGTTAAAAGATAAAGGGTTTACAGTATAAATAATACTGTGGAAGAGAATATGCAGAACAGGAAGAAGAGACAAACCCTACTTCAACATGGTTTTGAAGTTCTGTTTGTGTAAAGATAAAGACTGATATTTGAACGATATATTCTAAGGCTTAAAATATAGGACTATGAAAATAAAAAAATAATGACCAGTTATAGTTTCCCATAATGAATTCAATATGAGGGCAAAGGAGTCCTGGGTCCTGAGACAGTGGCTATTCTACGGTTTGCTTTTATAATTATTTTTCAGCTAGCCTTACTTAGCAGTCCAGGCTGGATTGGAACTCACTCAGGCTGAAGGAGAACCTGTGAAGATTCTCCTGCCTGTGCTTTGAAAATATTGGGATTACATGCAGGCTTAAGCCATCATACCCAGCTTCTGATGAAGGAAGAAGGAAGATCTAGAAGGCTATGTTAAGGAGAAGAGTAGGGAACTAAATATGATAAAAAATAAACTATGCATGTATAAAATTCTTGGAGAATAAAAATATTTGACTCAACATCAAATATATCTTATACATTAAAATAATTTGTATAAGATATATTTGATACTGAAATAAAATTACTGTGAAGCTTTACAGCTTCCATTCTGAAAGCACATTCTAACTGTATAAAATTGACTTGTATAATGTATAGATTTTGAGTCAAGTTAGAGAGTGTGATGTTTCTACTTATTTGCAAATTTTTACAATAAAATTTATAAAATTATATTTAGAATTTTCTTTTCTTTTGGTCTTCCCCTTATCCCCGTGGTACTTGGAACTTGACCCAGGACCTCACAACAGCCTACCATATCCTATTATTCTTTATTTTGAGACTCTGACTAAGTTGCTTGGATGGATCTTAAACCTGTGATCTCCTTGTATCTTTCTCCTGAGTACTGGAACTTTAGGATTGTACCATCAGGTCAGGCTTGAGTACCATTAACTGGGTGACCTTTGGGGTTGTCCATTAATTTTTTTGACACTCACATGCTTCATATGAGATTTGACTAGTGGTTTCTAAGTTTTTAAATTCTGTGACCTAAAGCCAGTCTATCTCACCTGTTAGGTCAGTTCCTTCTGGAAAGATGAGAAGTTGTAGTGGTTCATGAATGTCACAAAAATAATCAATCATGTCTTCAAAATGGCTCTTATCATCCTTCCACTTCCTGTGAATAAAGATAAAGGCAGCAGCTTGCATGGCCCAGCCTAGAAAAAAATTGAACAAGCATTTGCATGAACTTCAATGGCAATATCCACAAACCACGAAATATAATTTTCAGGTATTTATTTATCTATTTATTTATTTATTTATTTATTTATTTATTTATTTACTCACTCTGTGATATACCATAAATTTAGCACTGATTTTGGATTATATAGTGCATAAACCACAGTATTGGTTTTTAAAGGAATTTGGTAATCCTGGGGTTTGCAATTTTTTGCTTTGTTGTTTTGAGACAGGGTTTCTCTGAGTAGCTTTGTTCATCCTGGAACTCACTCTGTAGATTAGGCCACCCTTGAACTCAGAGATCCAACTGCCTCTGTCTCCTGAGTGCTGGGATTAAAGGGGTACGCCACCAGCCGGCTAAATTCTCAAAACCTCCTTTAACCCACAGCTTGCCACTCTTATCGTAAGGCACTACTGTGTACCAGTAGTAAGGACGGAGCTTTCTCGGGCCACAGGAGAATTCTGTAATATTTGCTCTTCTGTATTCTCAAACTAAATGCAAGTGCTATTTTCAACAGCACTTCAGATTTTACTTAAATGAAAAGAAAAATTCTAGAATGTCTGCTATGCACATTCCTTGGCGTGTATGTGTGGGCACACTGCCTTTCTTGGAGGTAGACCCACCTTATTGCTGAAAAGGCAGCCATGATAAACCTATCTGTGTTTCAGATGCCTGCCCATCTTTCCCTGGCCATAGCCTCTGCAGCTCTGTGGGGAGATGCCTGACTCAGGACAGCCTATGTACAGTCTCTGAAAAAGCTCATAAAGAATGAAAAGTGTGGGCACAACACAGTAACTCTCTAGGCCAACCAAATGTCCATTCTGTCATTAAATGTCCCCTAGGACCAAGGGAAAAGCAAACACTGTGAAGCAGAGGCAGTTGAACAATAAACAGCATATGTAGTGAAGGGCAAAACCTTGGCTGCAGAGCCACAGAGCTGATTCTGATTCCTAACACTAGGCACTTTTTTTAATTTTTTTTAACTTTTATTAATTACACTTTATTCATTTTGTATCCCCCCATAAACGCTCCCCTCCTCCCCTCCTAATCCCACCTTCCCCCCTCCCCTGCTTCACGCATGCCCCTCCCCAAGTCCACTGATATGGACTGATCTTAGTCTATCTTCCTTCTGATCTTAGTCTATCAAATCTCATGAGGAGTGGCTGCATTGTCATCTTCTGTGGCCTGGTAAGGCTGCTCTCCCCTCAGGGGGAGGTGATCAAAGAGCAGGCCAATCAGTTTATGTCAGAGGCAGTCCTTCTTCCCATTACTATGGAACCCACTTGGACACTGAACTGCCATGGGCTACATCTGTGCAGGGATTCTAGGTTATCTCCATGCATGGTACTTGGTTGGATTTGAGACTCTGTGTTCAAATTTTCTGGTACTGTTGCTCTCCTTGTGGAGTTCCTATCCTCTCCAGATCTTACTATTTCCCACTTCTTACATAAGATTCCATGCATTCTGCCCGACAGTTGGCCACAAGTCCCAGCATCTGCTTTGATAGTCTGCAGGGCAGAGGCTTTCAGAGGCCCTCTGTGGCAGGTTCCTAACTTGTTTCCTGTTTTCTTCTTCTTCTGATGTCCATCCTCTTTGTCTTTCGGGATGGGATTGAGCTTTTTAGTCAGGGTCCTCAAGAGGGAGGATATATAGACATATATCATATGTCTATATGAGTGAGTATATACCATGTGTGTCTTTCTGCTTCTGGAACAACTCACTCGGGATGATCCTTTCCAGTTCCCACCATTTACCTGCAAATTTCATGATTTCCTTATTTTTCATTGCTGAGTAATATTCCATTGTGTAGATATACCACAATTTCTGTATACCACTCCTAGGCATATATCCAAAAGAGGCTCAAGTACACAATAAGGACATTTGCTCAACCATGTTTGTAGCAGCTCTATTTGTAATAGCCAGAAGCTAGAAACAGCCCAGATGCCCCTCAACACTAAGCACTTTAGTCCCCAATCTTGCCAGCCTGTGTGTGGGTCCATCTCTGTGATGCCCATGAGAATCTTCCTCTCTCATGCTCACACAGCAATTACAGGACTCATCTTGGCAGGTGGGATGTGAGAAATTGCCTTGCAAAAAAGCAGTGCTGCTCTGGAATAAAGATGGTTTACTGACCATCTCCTACTCCCTTATAATTTAGGCTAAGCCAATCTGAAAATCTCTTATCTTTACTAGAAATCATATTTATTAAAGGTTAAGTTTTTTTCTAGACATTTTTTATGTATCCTGTTCTTCCTGTCACACCTCCCATTTTTTTCTGTCTTGAGTTGAAATTAAGTTTTCTATGCCCTTGACAAAAGCCCAGGTTTTCCTAGAACTCATTCAGCCCATTTGTTCATGCATACTATCAAGAGCTATTTCTGTCTAACAGTGTCAGGGAGCATTAGGTGGCACAGGGACAGTAAGGCCCACAATATGAAATACGGACTTCCTACCCCTTGGCAGACAGTATGCTGACCTCAGCTTGACTGGCCTGGAAACAGTACATCCCATTTCATTCCTCTGCTTTTCTCACCTTTCTATATTTGGTGAGCCTGTTGAAACACGCAACTCCATCAACAATGAGTTCAATTATTACTCTCCATCAAACAAAACAGCTCTTAATTCTATCACTCTGTAAACAGGAAGACTCCAGTTTAAATTTAAATTTAATTTTTAAAAAGTAAAATAATAATGCCAAAAAAGTATGCTTACCACCACCCCGTTACAGGATTTGTAGGAATCACCAAATGCTCCAAAGACTGTTTACTTTTCTATCACATTCCTAAACTTAACAGAATTGTTCTAATATTTAGACTTGACCCCAAGTTTGCAGAACTCTTTGCTTGTGCCCTTCTGTTAGTCCTTTTCTTTTCAAATTTGTTTCTGTCCTCACATTCCTGTAATATATTTTTGGTTCTTAACTTTGGAAGCTGGTTTGGCTAAAAATAGAATTTGAGGTTCCAAATCACTGTTTCTGAACATTTCCCACAGCCTTCTATCCGTCAGTGCGGCCAGGGCAGCTGGCAGCCAGGAAGAAGCCAAACCCAACCTCGGCCATGTGATAGCCTGCCCACTCCTCAAGCTTTAATGATTTTTCTCTCCTGTCCCAATAACTGTTTATTTCAACAATATTTTCCAATGGTTCTTTTCCACATCAGCTATTTCATGAATATTTTATAATTATAAAAATGTTTGGTGAATGCTAACAACATGCTTGCTATATTATTTTGAGCATTTCATTAATTCCTAAGACAACTATGAATCAGGTAAAAATTACTATCTCTAAAGCACTGATGACACATTTTGAGATGAAAATGTGGCCTGAAAACAGGCCTCAGACACAGGAGGTCTGGTCCAAAAGTGACAGTTTTGTTTTTTTTTTTCTTTTCCTTTTTTGTTTTGTTTTGAGATAAGGTCTCCTTCTGTAGCCCAAACCCAAGGTGGCCTGAGACACACTTTGTAGCTCAGCCTGGCTCAGTCTCCCAGCATGCTATTGATCCTTACTCTGTTGGTCTGAAATTATAGTATCAAATGTTTCAAATGCAGAAATGGCTCAGTGCTAACAGAACATACTGCTCTCTCAGAGAACCCAACTTTGGTTCTCAGCACCCATGTTAGGCAGTCTATGGTCACACAAAACTCCAGCTCTACAGGATCTGAAACCTCAGGGTTCCAGAGCACCTGTTCTCATGAGCACATATTTACTTACACACACACACACACACACACACACACACACACACACACACACACA